TAAGTGCCTAGCCCCAGGCTGGCACTCGAGACATGTGAGCGCATGTCATGTTCAACTTTGCTTTGCAGGCTAGAGGCTCTAAGACCCAGAACACAGCCCCTCCCACCAGGAACTCAATTCCACCAAAGCCTTGGAAGGCCCCATGGCTACTCTTCCCCTCCCGGGACCCACTTCCTCCATCTCCAGATGCAAGCCCAGCTGGGGACCATCCTCAGCCGAGAGGTTACATACAGCACCCAGGCTGGCTTTAGCACAGACCTCAGATTTCTTAAGCAACCGAGAGGAGGTGAGGAGGCCTGCGGGGGCCTCTAAAGAGAGAATGAGTCAGTCAGAGACAGACCTGAAACCTAAGAGATATCAGCATTTCTTGGAAAGGCAAGAACGGACGCATTTAGACAGAACTGTGCATGCAGAATGAGAGGTAGGCATAGGCCAGTCAGGAAGTGGAGTCTTCCGTCATCTGTGAGTCCCTCCACCTGGCCCTCTCTTCCTCAGACCTCCATCCTTCATCGCTCTCAAATGTCACCTCCTCAGGGAAGCCCTCCCTGATTCCACCTCCACCCAGCTTTGCTTTCCTTCCTAGCACAGTCTCCACCTGATAGGATATTGCAGGCCCATGTTCTCTCCTGTAAAACCCTGGGGGCCAGACATCGTTCAGAATTCAGAATGACTCAGGCTGTAGAAAGGTCACCTTGTATAAAATACCCCCCGACGTGCCCACCATGCAGGGCGGGAAAGCACCCAATGATCAATTGCACTAATATCTCTGCAGAAAGACATCTAAGCATCACACCAAAGAGGATAACGACTCTAAAAAGCCTCACGTTTAGCTTCAAAATGAGTTACGAAAAACTTTCGATTTTCGGAGGTTGTGGATTTCGGAATAACAGATAAAGCTGTCGATCTGTACATATGTATTGGCTGTACACTGCCTGTCTGCTCAACTAGAATCTAAACCCTAGGAGAGCAAAGGACTTGGTCCAATGCTCTGGCATATATAGGTGCTCAATAAATTCCTGAGGAAGAAATGCAGGAGGAAGCCAGGTGCTGGATATGCAGAAGGGACTCGGTCCAAAATGCAGAGAGAAACAGCAATCACTGAGACCCTTTCCAAGAGCAAAATGTCTACACAAACTATCTCATGAACGCTCTCCCTGCAAATACCCATGACAGACAAAGGGAGGCTCAGAGAGGTTAAACAACTTCCTCCGGTTACACGCTGGAGAGCTGGGAAGTAGCCAGCTCCGATTTACACCCCGGACCCCCTCTTCAAGCTCAGGCCCTTCTCTCTGCCTCAAGCTCAGAGAAGCAGAGCAATTTGCCGGATGTCATAAAACAACGGGGATGCACCCGGTCTGACAGTGGATTTCCCAGCCTCTGTAGGACCTCGAGCCTCTGCTGGGGTGCTCTGATCCACACTCACCAAAGGCAAGTCTGTGCAACGACCAGGCAAGCTCCTGGCCTCTCTTCTAGCCCAGCCATGGGAAGTCTAGCTAAACGTGGCTGGGCATTCCACTGTGCCAGCCAGGAGGAATAGTCAGAAATGTCTTTATTGGTCACTCCAGCGAACTGGTGCAAGCAGGAAAGAATAAATGGGAAGAAAAGTCGGATGCAGTCTGTCCGTCAGATGTGCGCCTGAGGCAAGGCTACCGCATTCATCTCCGGGTCTCAGTTCTCACCTGCAAAATGGGTGGACTAAATCCCAAACAATAAAGCTCAAAGGAGGCAACAATAAAGATATATTCATTTAGGCCAGGCACGCTTGCTCGCATCTATAAACCCAACATTTTAGGAGGCTGAGGCAGGAGGATTGCTTGAGACCAACAGTTCAAGACAAGCCTAGGCAACATAGCAAGATCCTGTCTCTAAAACTGTAAAAACAATTAGCCAGGTGTGGTGGCACACACCTGTAGTCCCGGCTACTCAGGAGGCTGAGGTGGAAGGATTACCTGAACCCAGGTATTGGATGTACAGTGAGCTATGATTGTGCCACTGTGCTCCAGCCTGGGCAATAGAGAGAGACCATGGCTCTTAAAAAAAAAAAAAAAAAAGGGTATTCATTTAACAAATACATCGTTTTTACTACATGCCAGGTACTGTTTTGTATGCTTGACACACATTAACTCATTTAGTCATCAATACAATGGCATAGTCACTAAAATCTCACAAATGCAGAAACTGAGGCTCTGGGAAGTCAGTTACACAGTAAGTAGCAAAGCCAGCATCTGCAGTGGGTGATCTGGTTCGAGTCCATACTATCATTTCCCAGCTATACGTCTTGACCGGTAACAACAGACGTATACATTGATTGTGGACCCACTGGGTGTTGGACATTGTGTGAAGTAGCTTATAAAACATGTCATCAACCCTCACGAAAGCTCACTTTTACAAACGTGAGGAAGCACAGTACCTAGGGGGCTCCTGTCCTGGCCTCACTCCCAGGTACCAGTGAGGGCAGTCGAGAGGTAGGGCATCTAATCCCAAACGCTCTCCTCCATCCTCCCAGATGGGGACGAGGGCAGGGAGATGGGGGAGGCAGAAGAGGTTCTCCCTTCTCATGTATTTATGTATTCGTTTATTTTGAGACAGGGTCTCGCTCTGTCACCCAGGCTACAGTGCAGTGGCACGATCACAGTTCACTGCAGCCTTGACCACCTGGGCTCAAGCTATCCTCCCACCTCAGCCTCCCAAACAGCTGGGGCCAGAGGCACCTGCTACCACGCCTGGCTGAGTTTTTAAATTTTTTTTTTTTGTAGGAACAGGGTCTTGCTATGTTGCCCAGGCTGGTCTCAAACTCCTGGGTTCAAGCGATCCTCTCTCCTCGGCCTACCAAAGTGCTGGGATTACAGGTGTAAGTCACTGCGCCTGGCTTCTTCTCACTTCTTTGACAATTCATTTCAGCTCCTTTTTGAACTGCGAGCATTAGAAAACTGAACATCCCCACCCTTGCCCTGGGCTTTTTGCAACCCTGGGATTGTATCGTATTAAACCTATCAGTCACTGAGTCACTTCTCAGCATTTGGAAACCCTTAGGTTATCTCAGACCTGCCGGTAACTGGATGTGTTGTAACCGGGGTGACTGACGGCAGGTTTTCCTCCCTACTACCTCCCCAACACCTTCCTCCAGGTTCAGATCCAGAGGCCCAGGGTGGGGCCCAGGAATCTGCATTGTTGCTTTTACAACTCAAACCAAGGTAAAATACACTGGCCCAACGAAGCTCCTCGGCACGGCATTCAAGGCCTTCCACAATGCAGCCCAGCCCACCTTTCCATCCATCTCTGGCTTCTCCTTACTCCCTAAGTTCCATACACAGTACCCTTTCACACCTCCCAGCCTCCGCCCACTCTGTGCCCGCCTTTACCTCCCATCCTCCACCTGCCAGACTCCACTGCTCCACTTACAAGGCTAGCTCAGGGTCCCCCGGTGCCGGGAAGCCTGGCCCAGTGCCCTGTGAAGAGCTGATCCCCTCTGCCTTGTGGTCCTGCAGCCACTGGCGCATCTGTACCCTCACAGCCCCCCACACTGTCATGTGTGTCTTCCCGCAGAGGGGGTGCTCCTTGAGGCAAGCACCAGTGTCCAGAACACCACCCAGGGCCCCGCAGGAGTTGAATGAGTGCTAGTGAGTGAATGAGTGGCTTAGCGGGTCACCTCCCATTCATGGGCTGGGCTAGCTGAGTTCTAAGAAACCCCTGCAGGACCCTGGAATGCCCTAATGTGCAGGACACCCTGGCCAAACATACATCCGAGCCTGTTTCCCCATTGGACTTTGGGATTTTGATAAAGGCACTGAGGTCCCAGCAAATGCCTTGGGCTCCTCAAAGGTCACTGGGGGCAGAGAAGTGCAATGGGTCATGCCTCCCCAAGGGCTGGGGAAGGGCAGAGACTAGAACTGCAGCAGGGTTAGCGCTGGCCTGGGGGCATTCCTTGAACCCCAGAAGCAGACAAAATAGCAATCCCCTATCTTGCTTAATTCTAAGAAATCCAGATTTTGTTTAAAAAAAAAAAAAAATCAGGGCTCAGTGGCTCACACCTGTAATCCCAGCATTTTGGGAGGCCAAAATGGGAGGATCACTTGAGGCCAGCCTGGGCAACATAGTGAGACCCCATCCCTATAAAATAAATTTTTAAAAAGAAAGTAAAGATCAGATTCCTGGGTTTACTGAATCTGAATCTCAGGGCGAGGAACTGGGAATCTGCATTTTAAGCAAATCTCCCGGAGATTCTGGTTATTGTGGTGGCTCCTCAAACGTGATTGAGAGATGGAGAGCAGCTGGCTCTGGCGTGGGATTGCCTGGGTTCCAGTCCTGATGCCCCACGGACTCCCAGGTGGGCGGCACCTTGGGGCAAGTTATTAAAGGGGCAGGATCTCAGTGACCTCATCTGTACAATGGCCATGACGCACAGCACCGGCCACAGAGAGGTTAGTGGGAGGTTTCACTCGGCATCCTTTCAGTAAAACAAGTCCTAGTCAATGATCGCCATTAGTGGGTCCCTCTGATATTCGGAGGCGGAGACCGCAGGTCCAAAGGGCCTTGTTTCCCCAGATTCACTGACCTAGTACTCAAATTTACAGTTCTCAGAACTTTTCCCACCCTTTGTCTCTCCGAAGTCCTCACTGACTTCCTGAGCGCGGAGCAGGGCGCCACTGCCAGGAGAAGAGGGGCTGCGTGGCCTCCGACAGCCTAACCCCAAGACCCCCACCCCCGCAGGCCGTCCCGGCGGAGGTCTCACGGCCAGAACCCGCTTTGGGGAGCGCTGGGTGTCCACGAACCTCTAGCCTCGCGCCTCCTTCGGCCGCAAGGACGGAACCGGGTGCTGCTCAGCGCACACCGAGAGTCGCGGGCTCGGGCCCCGCGCGGGGTCGGGGTGGTCCCCGTAGTCCCCGCGGTCCCCGCTGCCCGGGTCCCCGCCGGCGGCCGAGCCCTTCCCGAACCCCCTCAGCCTGCGTGCCCGGACGATACCCTCGCACCCCGATCGGCGCGCGGGCCCCGGGTCCTACCTGCGCGCCCCTGCTCCATTCGCCGTCCGGGAGCCCGAGCGGGAAGTGGGGGACCCCTGGGCGGCCCTGCCCTGGCCGGCACCGCGCGGGGCTTTCCTAGGCGCGGAGACCCAGCCCGCCCCGGCTTCCTGCGCTCCGCCCCGGCGCCCAGCAGATTTGCATGCGCAGCCCCGCCCGGCGCGCCCGGCCCGGGTCACGGCTACTTCGCGCCCCTGTTGCTGTCCCCGCCGCTGCTGGACAGTCCGAGCCGCCGTCCTCTGCTGGGGGCGACCCCAGCACCCCGCTGGGGGTCTTGCGGCGCGCTTCCTCCCACGCTGCAGCCCGAGGTCACGCTCAGCGGAGAACTCTGCAATGGATCCCCTTGGTCTCGGAATAAAACGCCCACGCCGACCAGGCCTCCAGAACCTACTCCTGCCTGGCCTCCGCGGCCTCCCCTGCGCTGGGGGCAGTTGCGTTTGGGGTAGGAGGGCTGGGCGACTGGAATCCTCCTCTCCTTCCTAACAGCCCAGCTTCCAAGTGCCAGTGTTTGCACATTCTTCAATAAATGTTTACCCAGCTCCTACTCCAGCCACATTTGGATAGTAAAACAGCCCCTTCAATCAGTAACTAGTACAATCTTGTCAGGCGCTGTGCGAAGGCACTACAAATGTTAACTCGTTCAGTCCTGGCAACTACCCTATAAGAAAGTGATACTATCACCGGTTTTACAAATCGGGAAACTGAGGCACAGAGTACTTCAGAAATTCAAAACGGGTTGGGCAACGTGGCTCATGCCTGTAATCCCAGCACTTTGGGAGGCCGAGGCAGGAGGATCACTTGAACCCTAGGGTTCGAGACCAGCCTGGGCAACCCTGTTAGCGAGAGCCCGTATCTACAAAAATTAACATTTATAAAATTGTAAAAAAGAAAACCAAAAAAACGGGCGCGGTGGCTCACGCCTGTAATCCCAGCACTTTGGGAGGCCGAGGCGGGTGGATCACGAGGTCAGGAGATTGAGATCATCCTGGCTAACACGGTGAAACCCCATCTCTACTAAAAATACCAAAAATTAGCCGGGCCTGGTGGTGGGCGCCTGTAGTCCCAGCTACTCGGGAGGCTGAGGCAGGAGAATGGTGTGAACCCGGGAGGCGGAGCTTGCAGTGAGCCGAGATCGCGCCACTGCAGTCCGGCCTGGGCGAAAGAGCGAGGCTCTGTCTCAACAACAACAACAAAGAAAACAAAGAAACTCAGAATGACTGGGCAGGTAAGCAAGGGTGGAGCTGGGATTCGAACCCAGGCCCCATAGACCATTAACCACTGGACACCATAAGAACCCGGATGCAGCCAGATGACTGGGGGGAAAACACTCAACAAAGTATTTCAGGTCAGGAGGGCCCAAGAAGAAAGTAGGGACCTCTTAGGCCAGTGGGGCAGGTGGTCTGTAAGGGGCTTTCTGGGTAGGCGACATTTGAGCTGAGACTCTGAAGAGCCTATGGGGAAAACTTGTGCAGGGAAAAGGAAGAGCTAGTGCAAAGGCCCTGTGGGAACCAGTTCAGCCTGCAGGAGGAATTGCTGAAGACCAGCGTGACTGTGGAGCCCTGAGTGAGGAGAGAGCGGAGGGAGGGGAAGTGGGAGATACTTGGACTCACACTGGGCAGTGCTGAAAACCCAGAGAGTAATTTGACCCCCTCCTGCCCTCAAGGAGCTGTCAGTCTGAGGGTGGAAGCCAAGGACAGCCCAATGGGATCAAGTGCTGTGGTGGAGGGTGAGGGTTGGCTTTCCAGGGCAGGGGCCACCGCACGTCGATCATTCTCATTTTTTGGAGGTGGGAGTCTCATTCCATTGCCCAGGCTGGAGTGCAGTGGGTGATCTCAGCTCCCTGCAAACTCCACCTCCTGAGTTCAAGCGATTCTCCTGCCTCAGTCTCCTGAGTAGCTGGGATTACAAGCGTGCACCACCATGTCCAGCTAATTTTTGTATTTTTAGTAGACATGAGGTTTCACCATGTTGGCCAGGCTGGTCTCAAACTCCTGACCTCAGGTGATCTGCCTGCCTCTGCCTCCCAAAGTGCTGGGATTACAAGCGTGAGCCACCATGCCCAGCCCATATGTCAATCATTCCTTCCTGTACTCGGTCTGTCTTGGTCCTACTGTGCCTAACCCTGTGACAAGCGCTGATGACGCAGACCTGAAGACATGAAACAGACACAATCCCTGCCCTCTGAGACCTTACAACCAAGTGAGCAAGACAGCCACCAACCCACCCTAGGAAGTGACAGTAAAGAGGACTTAGTTCCCTGGGGTCAGGGATGGCTTCCTGGAGGAGGTGACCTCTGACCAGTGCCTGAATCAATGCAGAAACACATGCAGGTGGAAGGGACAGCATGAGCAAATACCTGGAGGTGGTGTGGGAGTGTGGAAAAACTCGATCCTTTGGCATCTGTTTGTAGATGCCTCCATATGCCAAGTCGTGAGCTGGGGGCTGGGGAGAACAATGAATAGATCCAGTCCCTGCTTCCTAGCCCTGAGGATCTGGTTGGGGCACTGACAAGTGAACAGACGTAAGCAATTGAGTGTAATAAACCCCGTACTGGGGGCAGCCCAGGCAGACGTGGAGAGGACTAGGGAGAGAGAGTCACAGGAAGGGCTTTTCTGGAAACTTGGGTTTCAGGCGGAGTAGGAATCCTCCGGATCAAGTGTGACTTTCACTCCCGTCCACACTCATACTCCCTCACACTCATTACTCACACATCCGCACACCCACATGGTTGATATTTCATCCCAGGCAGTTCAGCCCTGCAGTCAATTGTCCTGTCTTTGTGTCTCTGGGTTTGTGCCCCATCTCATCGGGAGACGACATTATAAGTCTACCTTGGAAGTCCTTTGAGAATGTGTGGCTTGGGCTGTATCCCCTCCTGGCCTCCCAAACTGGGCCCCCATCCTGTTTTCCCGGTCAAGTCATTCTTCGTCAGTTTCCTCGCTTGCCCCTAGACCACCTGTGTTGGCAGGCCAACTCTGCTACTTATTGACATACGTAATTTTGGGCAAAGTAGATCATCCTCCCTGTGCCTCAGTTTCTCCATCTGTAAAATGGGGATAATAATAGATCCACCTCGTAGAGCTACGAAATGGTGAAATGGCAAGGTATGTATCACAATGCCCAGAACAATGCCTGGCGTGGATTAGGCATTCAAAATGTCAATTGCTATTCTTATCAGGATGAAGATGAAAAAGAAGCAAAGTCAAGCCTGTTGCCTTGGTCTGTTGCTTGGTTGTGAAATGCAGATGGACGTGGCATTGAGAAGACAGGCAAAGAAAGCACAGCTGTGGTCAGAGGCTAAGACATTCAGGAAATCTGGGGGAAGAGACTTTGGGAATTCTATGTACTCTTCCCCCAACTTTCCTGCGTGTCTGAAATTATGTCAAATTACAAAGTTAAAGAAAACAGGGCATTGTTCTTGGGTGCAAGAGAGAGAAGAAATGTGAAGTTTGTCTTCTTGCATACAGTCCCACCATTCAAGTTCCTGCCCAAGATGCCCAGACTTTATCTGTGACTGCTCTGTCAGTCCTGGGAGCAGGTCCAAAGGCAACGAGATAGTAAAACCTCTGTTCCCCCATCTAGGGGTTCCCAAGTCTTGACTCAGTATAAGCTCAATCCTCATTACATCCTAACACGCTTACTTGTTTCCAAGCCTTTTGGCCTTTAAAACTAATAGACTTTATTTTTTAGAACCATTGTAGATTTATGGAAAAACTGAGCAGATAGGACTGAGAGTTTCCATACATCCCCCTCCCCCGTGCAAAATTTCCCCTTTTATCAACATCTTTTATGATTGTATGGTGCATTCCTTATAATACTGATACATTATTATAAACTAAAGTCCATAGCATACATTGTTTCACTGTTTCTCAGGGTTTTGTTTTGTGTTTGTTTGTTTGTTTGTTTGTTTGGAAACAAGGTCTCACTCTGTTGCCCAGGCTGGAGCACAGTGGCGGGATCATAGCCCACTGCAGCCTGGAACTCCTGGGTTCAAGGGATCATCCTGCTTCCGCCTGCCGAGTAGCTGGGGCTGCAAGAACATGCCACCACACCAGGCTCTTTTTTTTTTTTTACTTGTAGAGAGAGTCTTGCTACATTGGCCAAGCTGGTCTCAAACTCCTAAACTCAAGTTATCCTTCCATCTCAGCCTCCTAAAGTGCTAAGATTACAGGTGTGAGCCACTGTGCCTAACCTCTGTTGCACAGTTCTGAGTCTTTTTTTTCTTTTTTTTTTTTTTGAGAACAGCGTCTTGCTTCCTGTCACCCAGGCTGGGGTCAGTGGCGTGAATCTCCAACTCACGGCAAAACCCTCTGCCTCCCAGATTCAAGCGATTCCTCGTGCCTCCAGCCTCCCAAGTTATCTGGGAACTACAGGTGCAGCAACGCCTTGGCCTAATTTTTTTGTATTTTAGTAGAGACGGGCTTTCCATAAATTGGCCAAGCTGGTCTTGAATGTCCTGACCTCAAGTGATCCCCCTGCCCTGGCCCTCACCAAAAGGTTTGGGATACAGGCCTGACCCACTGCACCCAGCCAAGTTCTGGTCTTAATATTATACCACCATATAGCGATAAAAGAATAGTTTCCCCAGCCTGGGCCAACATAGCCAAGACCTAGTCTCTACCAAAAACAAAAACAACAAACAAAAAACAGGCCAGGAATGTGAATGGACCTGTAGTCCAGCTTACCCAGGAGGCTGAGGTCAGGAGGATCCCATTTGAGCCAGAGTTCAAGGCTGCAGTGAACCTATGATCATCCACTGTAACTCCAGCCTGGGCATAGAATGAACCCTATATCTTAAATAAAATAAATAAATAAAATAAAGAAAAATAAAATATTCCGCTCCCTAAAATCCCAGTTTTTCTCTACCTATTCATCCAGGATCCTGGAAACCACTGATTTTTTTTACTGTCTCCATAGTGTTGTCTTTTTCAGAATGTCACGTTTTTTTTATCAGAAAGTATGTAATCCCTTAAAACTGACTTCTTTTTTTTTTTAATATATTTTTCAGGTTCCTCCATGTCTTTTCCAGGCTTGGCACCTCATTTCCTCTTGTGGCTGAGTAGTGCCCTATTGTATGGATGTATCA